AAATGCATTACTTCCGCAACCCACCCTGGTCGCAGCAATTGACATGGGTGGAGTACGCACACAATTCTCCTGACCTGCTCTGCCATCGGTATGTCCCCTTTCCAATGTGTTTTTGGATACCAGCCTCCTCTATTTGCCAGCCAGGAAGAGGAGGTTACTTGCCCATCTGCACTTGCTTTTGCCCGTCGATGTCGCCGCACCTGGTCACAAGCCCGAGCCACACTCCTCAGATCCGTTGCCAGCTACACTACCGGGGCCAACCGTCGGAGAATTCCTGCTCCCACCTACCATGTTGGTCAAAGGGTGTGGTTGTCATCTAAGAACCCTGCCACTCAGGGTGGAGTCGCAGAAGCTGGCACCTCGGTTCATTGGCCCATTCCCTATCATAAGAGTGATTAGCCCAACTGCTGTCCGGCTCCAACTGCCTAATTCCCTGAGGGTGCACCCCACTTTCCATGTGTCTAAGATTAAGCCCATCCATGAGAGTCCGCTGGTCCCTGCGGCGCCTGGTCCTCCTCCTCCACGGCTCGTCGATGGTGGTCTGGTTTACACCGTCCGCCGCCTGCTTCGGTCCAGACGGAGGGGTAGGGGTCTCCAGTACCTCATTGACTGGGAGGGCTATGGACCTGAGGAAAGGACCTGGGTGCCAGCTAGTCGGATTGTGGATAGGACTCTCATCACCGCTTTCCACCAACGGCATCCTGATCAACCTGCAATCCGTAGGGGCCGCCCCAGAGGGATCCCTAACCGTCCTGCCCGCTCGGCTTCCTGTCCTGTGCCTGATCCTGTCTCGGGACCTGTCCCATCTCCCGACCACGGCCCTCCGGCTTCCTCCGAGGATGAGGACGTTCGCTCGGACCGTTCGGAGGAGTTCTAGCCCTCCTCCGGCTCCCCTCCTCCCGCCCGGCGTGGTGTTGCTCTTGGGACTTCTGGGGCCGTCCCTTGGGGGGGGGGGTTCTGTCATGAGCCCTCTCACTCCACCGGGTTACCACCTTAATTTGTTTCCACTATCTTCCACTCTGCTCACCACTCTCTCTCTACTCAGCCTAACTAGCTCCACCTGTCCCTGCTCTGCTCGGCTCTAATTACTCTGCCAGCTGCGCTGCATTACCCACTAACCTCTCCCAGTATATTAAGTCCTGTCTTTCAGCTCTCCTTTGTCAGATCGTCTGCAAAGCTCACACCCGGAACCTGTTTGCTCGCGCTTCTGGCTCACCCTTGTTTTGTGACCCCGGACCTGCCTGATTCTTGGATACTCTTCTGCCCCAGGAATACCAGACCTGCTTTCTGCCATTACGACTCCTGACTACTCTTCGATCCCGTAACTCTGACCAGCCTTCTGCCTTGCTACTACGTATTTTGGATTCCCCTTGAACTGTACTGCTGCCTTGTTTCATTCCGCCCTGTTGTGTCTGTGTCTCCCCCCCCCCAGGACTTCTGGACCACCCACCACCGGCTTCATAGGACGCATCGCTGCCACTGGGGGGGGCACAGACCCAGCACATTGGACGGGACCCCCTGTTACCCCTGGAGCCTTCATTCACTCCCTAACTTCCCTTTTCCCTTAAGTTTTAATAAACTTTCTGGTGTGTCGCAATTGTGGTCCCCTGGTCGTCTGTCTGAATCGTGACACTAATCTGCCGTGACTGGGATGGTTTGAAACTCAGAGGACTGCCAAACTCCTCCAACGCAGAGCCTTTTATTTATATTTAGTATGGGATATATATAGCTCTATTCCAACCCAGTATTCTTGTATATTCACACACACACACACACACACACACACCACACACACACACACACACACACACACACACACACACACACACACACACACACACACACACACACACTGTCTCTGAATGATGTGCCTGTTCTGCTTCCTGTCTGTGACTCTGTGAATCTGTGTCTGTGGGTCTGTGTTTGGCGGACCCGGTACAGTAATATTGAGGACAAGAGTCCCATTGTGGGAGGACATAAACCTGCTTTGTGTTTGCGCTGGGAGATCTGTCGGCTGGGGTCATGTGCTGGACTAAATGAATGGCTGATCTGAATCCGCCTGACACTGTCTTCACTGAGAGAGAGAGAGAGAGAAGAGAGAGAGAGAGAGAGAGAGAGAGAGAGAGGAGAGAGAGAGAGAGAGAGAGAGAGAGAGAGAGAGAGAGAGAGAGACGAGAGAGAGAGAGTAGGAGAGAGAGCGAGAGAGAGAGAGAGACTAGAGAGAGGAGAGAGGAGAGAGAGAGAGAGAGAGAGAGAGAGAGAGAGAGAGAGAGAGTCTCCTCCAGTTACAAACCAATCTCCCATTCCTCATTAACACTTGTTTTCTATAGAGGATGATACAAATATAGCTTTGAAATATATGTTTTACGTACCGTACTGTATGGTTGAAAAGTCTCTCCTCAATCAATTTGGAAGTAGTCAGTTAAAGGGGCAATCTGCAGTTGCTACATCAATTTGTGGACTTTAATGAGACAGTTTAAGTCAGAGGTTTACATACACATTAGCCAAATACATTTAAACTCAGTTTTTCACAATTCCTAACATTTAATCCTAGTAAAAATTCCCTGTTTTAGGTCAGTTAGGATCACCACTTTATTTTAAGAATGTGAAATGTCAGAATAATAGTAGAGAGAATGATTTATTTCAGCTTTTATTTATTTCATCACATTCCCAGTGGGTCAGAAGTTTACATACACTCAATTAGTATTTGGTAGCATTGCCTTTAAATTGTTTAACTTGGCTCAAACATTTCGGGTAGCCTTCCACAGGCTTCCAAACAATAAGTTGGGTGAATTCTGGCCCATTCCTCCTGACAGAGCTGGTGTAACTGAGTCAGGTTTGTAGGCCTCCTTGCTCGCACACGCTTTTTCAGTTCTGCCCACACATTTTCTATAGGATTGAGGTCAGGGCTTTGTGATGGCCACTCCAATACCTTGACTTTGTTGTCCTTAAGTCATTTTGCCACAACTTAGGAAGTATGCTTGAAATCATGCTTGAGCGGATGGTCAGGGACCCAGAACATAATTACAAATAATTTGTAGACTGCAAATTGACCACAAGAAGCCCAAACAGATATAATATTTGACTAAAACATAATAATTTCAAACATTGCTTACATTTGTATACAATCACATATAACTCTCCGTTATGCGTGGGAATACTTTGAAACATATTTCCAAAATTAAAATCACGGAGCTGATTTGCTGATGTTTTTACAGTCTTATGTCCAACAACAACAACAACAACAACAGATATACATTTTACCTCAAGGCTCGGTTTGCCACTTTATTATGTTATTCACGTAAGCGTATTTCCTTCATTAACATCACTCTCCTTGTTGAGTAAACAAGTTTAAAGTGTGCTCTAGTCATACAAATGTGGATGCGCTAACAGAATGTTTGGATATTTTTTTCCATATATTTGTTTTTGCTCAGAACCGAATAAAATCACTCCACTAGTTGGGGAACCCTGGGCCACCAGTTGGGGAACCCTGGGCCACCAGTTGGGGAACCCTGGGCCACCAGTTGGGGAACCCTGCTGTATAGTTTCAAAACATTGGTTTTAGAAGTGGGACATAACTTATTATTTTATGCAAATATTTTTTTTTTATCCAGTCGGATACACACTCCAAACAGCCTACCCGACCGCTCGGAGGCGTCCGCATCGTCCTAAAGCACACCTTTGCCTTGTTTTGTATCACATTCCAATGATAAAACATCACTCTCCTTGTTGAGTAAACATGTTTAAAGTGTGCTCTCGTCATACGAATGCGGATGCTCTAAGATGATGTTTTCATGTTTTTTTCCAGAGAAATACTGTCATAACTGGGATAGAGTATTTTTGTCCCTCCCAGGTCTGGAGTAGGAGGAGGGATCCCGTAACTAGTACCTAGTCACTCAGTCAGTCTGTTTGCACATGATTGATGAAGTGTCACTAGGCAGACTGTGATTCCCCTGTGCTCTGCTTGTTGGGAACACAGCCAGATTGTAACAGCCAATAAGGTCCTTCTCTGTTCATATTTCTTCCCTTCACCTTAGCACTAATTAATTATTTTTTATTTCCTGCAGGATATAGACCCACGCCCTGACTGGAGTTGATTTATCTGTGGAAGACCTGCTGCAAATGGCTGCCCTGCCTGCGTTGCCAGGATGGAAAACAGGATTGTCAATAGGATGCGGCCTGAAAAATATCGGCAAGTGAAGATGTCGCCTCCGCCAGTGTGAAATCAATGGGGAGTACTTGCTATGCGAAGAGCCTTTGAACTTTTTGACAGCCGCACGTTTGGGAGGCCTGATACCTTGCCTTTGATTGTAACCCTTCCTGTGAGTGGATCTAAAGTGGATTGTTGCTGCTAGCGCTGTGGTGTCATTAGCCTCTTTAGTGTGTGTGTGTGTGTCTACTGGTGTGGCAGAGGGAGCATGCCCCTGCAGAGGCCTGGCTGTCTGAAGCTGTACCCTGCGGGGAGGGCCATGCAGCCCCGGCTGGGCGTAGGCCTGGGTCTGGGCCTGGATCTCACCTTCCTGCTGTGGATACTGAGCCTAGCACAGCAGGCCCTGGTCACGGCCTCTCAGAAACTGGACGAGACGGACCCCGTGGTCACAACCGTCTATGGCAAACTGAGGGGCGTCAAGAAGGAGCTCAACAATGAGATCCTGGGACCCGTCATCCAGTTCCTGGGGGTGCCTTATGCCGCACCCCCCACGGGCGAGAGGCGCTTCCAGCCCCCAGAGCTGCCCATCTCTTGGCCGGAGGTCCGCAATGCTACGCAGTTCGCCCCGGTCTGCCCCCAGACCATCGTGGAGGGGCGTCTGCCGGACGTCATGCTGCCTGTGTGGTTTACTAACAACCTGGAGATAGTGTCTTCTTACGTACAGGACCAGAGCGAGGACTGCCTTTTCTTAAACATATATGTTCCCACTGAGGATGGTGAGTTAACAGCCGGACCAAAAGGGAAAACAGACCTAAACCAACAACCTCTTTTTAAATATATTCCTGTCTGTTTTGTGCTGACAATAGAGTGAAAAGCATGACCTCTGCATGTTTACGTGCATCACACTGCTTTTATGTGTGTGAGTGTGTATGTGTGTGTGCCTCTGTGTGCGCCTCTGTATGTGTGTGTGTGTGAGTTTGTGAGTAAGTGTGCGGCTGTTCATCAGTCTCCTGATCCCTCCTCCCACACGCACATCGTCCTGTCCACCACAGCACGTCCATTCAGGTGAGACTGGTTCCTCTTTTCCCTTCTTCCTCCTCTTCCTCCTCTTCCTCTTCCTCCTCCTCCTCTTCCTCCTCACTCCTGACTGACATCATCTGTCCATTGTGTGTAGGCACAATGAATAGGGCTCATCAAGGAGGAAGCTCATGTAAATAATGATTATTGATTGATTCACTGACTGATTGATTCATGAACTAAGCCAGTAAGAGCAACTCTCTTTGTTAACTCATTTTCTCCTTCCTCAACACTCAGATAGTGGTGTTGCATGCTCCAACTGTACTTAACGGGGCTCCATGTTATTTTTTAGTCTTCTATTCATTTTACAGTAAAAAGAATATCGAAGGAATGTGCCAGGAAACCGGGCAAGAAAATATGTAGACAAGGAGGTATGTATACTGGAATAAATAACACCGAAAACAGAGAAGGGCCCCAAAAGAGCCAGCTGCATGGGGCCCCAGAGAGAGGAGTCTCCCCTCCCCAGGCAGTGCTCCACCGAGAGGAGAGGAGATGGGGCACTCTGATTGGCTGCCAGGTCCTAGGTCAGAGAGTCTCCTGTAATTGATGACATGTGTGAGGAGTTAACTGTGGGGAGACGACGGCCACTCTTAAATTAGATGGGCACACGGTGAACTTGCAGAGTCTAATCTCAATTAAAAGGGATGGTATCTCTGTTCCATTGGCTTGCTCTGGCTGTATCGATCATGGCTTCATCAAGATAATGTCCTCTAGGCTCCCCCCTCCCACCCTCCCACCCTCCCTCTCTTTCTCCTTCCTTCTTTCCATCTCTTCTGCTTGCTGGCTGGCAGAGTGGCAGTTCAGTGTGCCTCTCAGGGCCGGTGACAGTGCCCTTGATAAGGCGTGTGGTGTTAATGCAGCCACTCTGGCAGGCAGGAGGCACGGGGAGCGCTCATTAAACATCCTCTCTCTGTGTCCTCTCTCCAAACACAGGGCAGGGCAATCCCTCTCCAACCATCCTCCCCTCCCCTCCGTAGATCTGGGTTCTGGCATATCAGGCTCCAACACTGTTAAAGCATTGCCAACATATTCCCATATCATCTCAGATATTCCACCCCACTAGCAGTCCGCTAGTCCCTTAAACAGATATACCCAAAGGTAGTCACACATATAGTATTTTGTAAACATATAGCTCCAATCTCTTTAAGGGGTGTATATACCCAATTTACCTTTACTAACTAATCCTGTCATAACATGCCCCCTCTCTGCCTGTTCCTCCTTGCCTTATCATTTGACCTCCCTTCCTGCCAGTCAGAGCCACCATGTTGTCCCCCTCCCACTTAACACATAAATGACAGTATGACAGATGTCACATGACCCCCCCCCCCCCCCCCCCCCATATGATACAGCAAGTGCAGGCCATGAAGTGGCTGATAACACCTTTTAATATTTTCTATTTTTAATGTTCACTTTATGATGTAAAAATTGCAATTAATATGTTACTGTGTTTTGCCACATTGTCTATCTCCAAGTGTTCTTATTGCCTACAAATACATTTAGACCTCAATAGACCTCAGTGACCAGTAATGCAGTAAAGAGTCATGTTTTGTGCCTCTCTTTTATATGTTTGTTAGTAGGCTATTTATCATAATTCCAGCCCACATTGTTAATAGGATTTCAACTTTACAGATGAGAATTTCTCAGTCACATTGATTGTTACAGAGGAGAGCTAGTTCATCCTCTACATCCTCTGTAATACTGCAGATCTTTTCAGTTATGGTTGGTATTCATTCAATATTCTGTTCCTTTGGGCACATTTGAAGCTGAGTGTTTGGTGGTAATTCAGGTTAAACTGTGATAATGTGGTCCTTCTACATGAGTGCATCTTTTGATCCATTGATATTCAAACATAGAAGATATGCCACTCTGCACGAATATCTTTGATGCGGTAGTAATTTGCAGCAGCATTTTGACTTAACATAGTATTATGCACTATTATGATTTACCAGTTCTCATCTGTCAGAATAAGACATGAACACGTACTCCCCATCCAGTAAGATATTAGTTAGGTTGTTCTCGGAATTTGCATCAACATTGAGGGTACGCTCTTAGAAAGAAAAGGTGCTATATAGAACCTAAAAGAGTTATTTGGCTGTCCCCATAGGATAACCCTTTGAAGAACCCCTTTTAGGTTCCATATAGAACCCTTTCCACAGAGGGTTCTACATGGAATCCAAAAGGGTTCTACCTGGAACCAAAAAGGGTTCTCCTATGGGGACAGCCGACAAACCCTTTTGGAACCCTTTTTTCGAAGTGTGTACTGCAGAGCTGATTTGGAATGAATCTGTGTGGTTGGGGAATGTTGGTGAAGCTTAAATGAAGCTCTTTCTGCCAGCTCTATAATCGGTTTGGGCATGGTTTCTATGAGCTGCTGTTCAGTTGTTACAATAACACACAGCAGTCCTTGGAAATAATCCTTTATACAGATATAGGATCTTTTGTTGCTGAGAATTTTCCTGCAAAGCAGGAAATGTAAACTTGTGGTGTATTTGAGTTTTAAAAGGTCTTCTAAAGTTTGTAATTTCCACATTGAAATTTCAGACTTGATTTGCCCTAATGAAAAATGTATCAACCCCTACAAAAATGTCCATTCATTATAAGCCACATAAAAATCACATTTCCTGTTGCTGCATGATTATTTTCCTGCTGTAGCAAACTGGCTCAAATTAAGATCCTACATGTGTAGTAGGTCTACAGTACTCCAAATAACCCAGTGTAGTTAGTAGTGTTATGATGATGGCAGATTGGTCGCTCCAGCGGGGTACATAGTTGCCCTTAGCACTATTTGGTACTGCACAGTTGACACAGAACCCCCCCCCCCCCCCTCCTCACTCCTCTTTCCATTTATGAGGCCTCGTCCCAGTTTTGTAATGGTTGAAGGGGGCTCCTGGGGGAGGTGCAGGGCCTCACACGGAGGCAGGAATAGATTTTTACAGCTTCAATACGTTTCCAGCCTTCTCCCCACTGTGTCCCCGGAGAGAAGCTGTCTGTAAAACCTGGGCAAAATATCGGTCTGTTTTAGAGGTGTGCTGTAACTTTGTTCATGTGGGCTGAAGCACTATAGTATGTGTGGGTGGGTGAATGTGTGTATGATTGTATGTTTGTGTGTGAGTGTGTGTGTGTGTGGCTGGACATACTGGTGTTACCATGCGTTTCAGTCTTTCTCTGTAAGAGAGAGAGAAAGTGGCAGACTTGTGTGTATGTGTTTGTGCAGGACGTGGGTGTGCATGTGTAGACTTTTCTGTACACTTACAAACTGCCTTGCTCTCTCTTAGGAAATCAGAGAGGAATTATTCCAGTGGCGATTGTGAAAATCACCCGTAGTTTGTGCTAAGTGTATTACATTTTAACAGAAGTTTACAATGGTGGTCTCAGCATTTTGAAATGCAGCATGCAGAATAGAAATCAGGCTGTGAAGGAAGGTATTATAGCTTGGTAGAGTGTGGAAAGACCCTATATGTTATTCATGGTGGATTGGAGTCTCTTGGAGGACTGCAGGGTATGATGTGTGTGCACATACACAGGGTTTTATCCGCTGTGGTGTGTAATAAGTATGTGAGTTGTGGGACTGCTCTGTAGATTTAACAAGGTGCCTGCAGACAATCTTTGTGGGAAATCGAATCCGTTAATTTTCAATTGAGCGATCGTGATTTCAATACTGAGAGGCACTTTTCAATCTGAAAAAGTAATATCTCACTTGGTTTTGAGTTTCTATCAACTGAGGTATGAAAATGTTGATTGGAAATTCTCCCCTGATCTTTTATGCTGCAGCAGGAAGAATGATGGCTGAACATGTACTATTATTGTAAGGCTGAGAGCTTTCTGTGAAGGTACAAATGGTATTCGAAGGTGCCAGTGTTGATAGCTACAGTTAAATATGAATTACAACTGTATTATGATAAATATAAATGAGTATCTTATTTTTTGAATCTTTAATTAAGGGCATTAAACGGGAGTAAATAGGCTAGACATGGCATTCCTTATACAGCTCCTCATGTAGTAGGGAAACAATGGAAAACAACAGACCTAATATTGCTTTCTGTACTGTTCATTTCTCAGAAATGATCTTTTGCTGCTGTATGAAATGCATTGCAAGCTCTCATGCATTTCAAATACGCTGTTGGAACAACAGATATTGCTGCCGAGAAGTAACAGCTTTTTACCATAGTTTCAATTTCATATTTGCAGACATTCTTTATGGGCCTTTCCAAAAATGTCCTTACACTATGTAATGATTGAGGCCATTCGCTACCTACAATGATGATGGAGAACATTCAACAATGACATTGCAGTGAGTAGAGAGGGAAATATTTGTTTTCCTTCTAGCAAGCAGTGTCAATAGTGTTGATGCACAGACACAAAAGCACTGTATGCAAACCCTTGCACGTTGAGAGAGAGAGAGAGAGAGAGAGAGAGAGAGAGAGAGAGAGAGAGAGAGAGAGAGAGAGAGAGAGAGAGAGAGAGAGAGAGAGAGAGAGGAGAGCGATAGAGTGATATAATGTTTGGACCGGCTTGGTCGGTGGCAGCTGTGATAAATTCTGAAACGCCAATTCACTGTGGGCCATTTTAAAGGGCCAGGCCAACCTTTAGTTCAGAGCTGGAGTGTGCCTTATTTGACCCTTTATTTAACTACAGTGGGAAGCTGTTAACATCATCTTCCTTGACTTACAATCCACTAAAGGACATGTTCGCTATGTGTCAGAAGACTGGGAGGTGTCACTCAAGCAGAATGGCAATGCCAATGGCAACCTATGATGAAACCTTTTCACCTTGATTTCAGGATGATGCAGGATTGAAAAGCGGCTTGTTTGTTGGTTCTGTGACTGATGAAACCCCACAGAGAACCTTTTACTTAATTAATAGGCTTTAAACAGGCGTTATATTATGGATACCTGGGATTGTATACTAAGGATACCTTGTACTGTACCTGACAGAGGAGATGTGTTTTTTTCTATTTGCACCATAGCCCAGAAATGTGTCAATATACATTAACCGATTGCTATTGACAGTTGTACATCCATTTGAACACATGTAATAGCTGTCAGGATGGGCATTTACATAAGTCCACAGTATCAGGGTTTTTTCTGGCTACCAACTGCACACCCATTCTTGTGATCAGGGAGTATGACATTTGTTTTAAGCCGACTGCCAAGTCACTTTAATGACGGGGGGGGGGGGTTGAGTGACAAGTTGTTGCAGATGGCCACCGTGCAGGAGAATCTAAGTAAATGCAGGTTTCACCTTCACTTGACAATGGGAACAGAGCATCTGACCCAGAGTGTGTTAATCACTGGGCTCTAATTTTACCTCCCAGCTGCTACAGTGAGGGGAAAAAATGTGATCCCCTGCTGATTTTGTACGTTTGCCCAC